GACGCTGTCGAGTTGAGGCGCATCTCGGTGCGAGTTGCGACTCCTCCAAATGCAATTGCAGGAGACAAAGATACCTTTATTGCCTACAACCGGTTCAGTCGTCATGTCGACCCCAGCGCCGTTGGCTTGCCATCCAATAGGTCTGTTGATAGTCTCTCTGATGATGATCTTGGCAAGGGGCAGAAGCACGGTATGGTAATCGTTTAAGCGTATGATCATTTCAGTCATTTGTAAAGTCCTTCTTTTTGCGTGCTCTTATGTTAGAAAGATATCAATTAATTTGTCATGTTGGTCATGATGCCACTCGTTTAAAAAAAGGTCCGGCGTCATCTTTCCTGCCAACGTTTTCTTCTAGCCTTGTCTGTGAGCTAACCTCATTCATGAATTTATTGGGATTCACTATACGGTGGCTTCGGGTTATGGGACTATCACAAGTAGAAAGGGGGAGCAATCGCAAAGGCTCTATATTGGGAACCGCGGCCCGTGATCATTTCCTGCTCTTGGTTTGTTGCAAAGTCGCACAAGATCTTGTGGCAATGGCGAAGGCACTAGCTGATGGCAATAGTCTCGCAGATCATAGACAATGGAAGGGATGTGAACAAGAATAAGCAAAGGCTAGGCGTAGCAGCATCGAGATTATGGAGCTTCAGCTTTATCTCCCCAAGGGGAAGCAACAAAAGTTATGACCTCTAAACTAAGTGATAAAAAGATTTAGGTAATCTTAGTATATGTTACTCGAGCTTCAGACCAGTTTATTCTGTCACCTTGATTCTACGTCAGACCTTTTATCCCCCTCGGGGGCTTCCCCACGAGACTCAACAGCCCGTGTGGCATCTCGATTCAGCCGCAAGGGAGCGATTACAAGGCAAATGGCAAGAAACCAATGATCGGCCATTCTCGCGCAATCCACATGTCTCATGCCGCCAGTTCTAGACTCAAACCCAGCTGGACGGGGAGTTCAGGCGAAGGTGTGCCATCTAAGACACCAACTTGCCACCGAGCTGAACAAACTATCGAACGCCATTGTTGGGACGGGGAGTTCGAGGCTCCCAGGGCGGACCGTCGCGGTGGGCTAACGGCTCCTCGCCGTGGAGGCCTCGTAAATCACGACATTCAAGCTAAGCGTTGCGAATTGGCGTTGGCTTGGTCTTGACAGGGGTGGTTAGCGTTGGTGGGAGAGGTTCTCGACTGGGTGTGATGGGGCCGATCGGTAGCTGCGCGTTGGAAGTTATCTGATCGTGATCTTGGCTTTGCAGTGCCGCTTACGACATTCTGTGTACGCTGTTAATGTAAAAGCCATTCATGGTCTTATTTCACATGGTCAGCTATGGCTGAGAGCCATTGCTGCTTGGCGAACTCGCACAACGGTGGGCACGATCCACCACGATGTCAATGGCCGGCTATACCGGTGAGATACACTTCCCAAACTCGGACGGTCGCCGGTTAATGGCATTTCTCATCCAGATCACCTAAATTTCCTGCAATATTTCGTCTGTGGGGGTAAGCACGCATTAGTCTGTGATAAAACTCATCAGCCAAGCTAGAAAAACCATGTTCTAGTGGTGAGAATTTGAGGCTGGAATTGCGACATCCGAAGCGACAAGGGTCAAAAGGAGGAAAACATGCTCGGATTATCGGTGCGGAGTCGATGAATGTCATCCCGCGTATGCATGCTCGGTCAGACAAGAGGCTTGGTCTCGTGTTCAAGGAAGAAGCAATTATGGTGCCAAGTCGGCGAGCATGCCTTGTCGTGCTTGTCGTTGGTCATCGCGTACTGCTTAAGCCCTTAGCATGGGGGCGATCTCTGCTTGTTTAAGCTTATCGTCTCATCAAGACAAGAATTCCGTCATTCGGAACTCGTGGAATTGGACGGTTGGACCGATGATTCCGACGCTAAGAGGATGATTTCAAGGGTTAGTTGGGCAGGCGCGGTATCCACAGAATAAGGCTTGGATTAAAGTAAGCTTAAGAAATAGCTTATTTCAGTCACATCCATATGATTGTATGCCCCAGAGACATTCTCTCTCACTCTTCCGTCGCATTTCTGATGTTACTAACGGCTTTAATGAGCCGTTTTTAGCATTCGACGTTATTGAACTCCCCGCCCGGATTGTCCGTTGTCATTTCCCTTGGCATTCTTACGCCAAGTGCGCCGAGCGAAAAGTTTCGGCAGCTCTGGCGGGGAGTTGATCTGGGCTACTGTGATAAAGTTCGACACCATGCACATGCAGACGCCTCGCCGGGGGATGGTGGTGACCCAGGATGATGATTGGACTCTCTTTGATTCGGTGAGTCATTTATTTTTCTCGCAACCCCCACAAGGTGGTGACACTGGTGGTAATTGAGATAAGCCAAGATGTCTTGTGTTAGTTCGAGGACGGGGAGTTCGAAGAATTGCAAGGATGGGATGTTGATCCTCGACACGACAACACCATCTCTGACAGTGGTTATGGTTCGTTAGTGTCGCCACTGTCATTTTCTTTTTTCTGTCTAGCCTGTGTCACTTTATTGAGTTGGAGACACGCTACCGTGTTGTCAAGAGACTCGGGCGCCATGAAAGCCTGCCGCTGTGTCGTGAAGGTAGGTGGCTTGAGGGTCGCAAAACTCAGTAGTTTTGTGAATTTAGATAACAATTTATAAAATTCACAATATATTTTTGGTAAAGAAATCTAAGTCTTAATGAACTATGTAGATTCTTCCCCGAATTCATTAAGAATTTTAACATTCTCTTCATAAAAACCTTCCATTTCATTTGCCATATCGCCGACGCGCAGCCCCGGCACTTGAGGGGGTATTGCGTGCTCACTTGGCTTGCACGCCAAGACCATCGAGACCGACACCAATTCTAGCCCTTTTCCTCTTGGCAAAGGCTTGAGATGATAGAAAAGGGCGACGTTAGAACGCTTTTTTCGTCTCCGATGCAGTCACCATCAGCATCTTTACCAATCTCCAAAATGGGTAAACTTGACACAGTTTCATCAAAGTCCCACTCGGACTTCCCTCAGCCTCGAGAGGATGAGGAGTCTCTCACCCTTCATAAGGATTGGAGTTTGGATGAGGAGAAAAGGGCTAAGCGCAAGTAAGTCATCTTTTTCATGTCAATTGAGCAATGCTGACTGGCTGTGTAGGCTTGACCTGATTATCATGCCGCTATTGACGCTTGGGTTCTTCTGCCTTCGTACGTCTTCCCAACGACGATCAAACCTCCTCACCTAATGACTAGACGGTCCAGACTAACAAATTCTCAATTAGAACTCGACCGAGGCAACATCGCCAACGCCCTGACTGACAACTTCATGGAAGATGTCGGCGTCACCCAAAACCAGTTCAACGTCGGTCAACAGATGCTCTCCCTCGGCATCGTCCTCTTCGAAATCCCCTCAAACATGATTTTGTACAGAGTAGGCCCTGGTAAATGGTTGACTCTCCAACTATTCCTCTTCGGCACAGTCAGTACCTTCCAGGCCTTCCAGAACAACTACGGATCCTTCGTCGCAACACGATTCCTTCTCGGTATCACCGAATCTGGATTCATCCCCGGTGGACTCTGGACCTTGTCGACATGGTACACACGCAAGGAAACAGCTAAGCGTGTCATGTTCTTCTACTTTGGAAACCAGTTCGGCCAGGCTTCCAGTAAGCTCCTGGCCTACGGTATCCTCCACATGCGTGGCGTTGGAGACAAGGCTGGCTGGTTCTGGCTTTTTGTTCTTATGGGAGCTTTCACTGTTCTGAGTGGTGTCGTTCTGGGCTGCTGCTTGCCTGACTCCTTCAAGAATCCCCGAAGCACATTCCTCCCGAACGTCAAGATCTTCAATGAGAGAGAATTGCATATTCTCCAGACTCGTGTTCTTCTCGATGATCCTATGAAGGGAAAGAAGAAGAAGAAGATTGGCTTGGGTGCCTTCAAGAAAGCTGTAAGAGCCTCATCTACAACTATAATAGCCACACTCAACTAACATTGACAGTTTTCCAACTGGCGCCTTTGGGTCCATGTCATTATTACTCTCACCAACAACGGACCTCAACGTGCTTTCGACACATACTCGCCTTCTATCGTTAAGAGCTTCGGCTTCCAGGGTCTCACTAGTAATGCCCTCGCCTCAGTCGGTCTCTTCCTTCAGATCCCTGTTTCGTGGACCTTCAGCTACGTTTCTGATCGATTGTGAGTGACTTTTCGTTTGTAAATATTCAATGCTAACAGTCATTTAGTAATAAGAGGCCAGAGACTGTCATCGCGGGCTTGAGCATGCACTTGCTGGGTTACGTGTTCAACCGCATCTTCACAGAGCTTGGCCGAAGAGGAGTCAGTTATTTTGGTGTTGTATGGACTCAGACCTTTGGTACCTTCTCACACCCTCTTAATATCGCTTGGATGTCGCTTGCATGTGATGATTCAGAGGAACGAGCCCTCGCTATGGCCATGTAAGTCCCGACCCTTTCACACCACAACAATCGAATTACTGCTAATCATACCCTCAGGGTCATTATGGGAGCAAACATTGCTGGAATCTACGGAGCACAGATCTTCCGATCTGATGATAAGCCCAAATATCGCCGTGGCTTCACTATCAACATCGTTGTCCTCGCCGTTGGTCTCGCGCTTGCGGTCCTTCGTTTCTTCGACGATAAGATCTGGCGTCGCTCCAAGGTTGCCGAAATTCAGGAGCAACTTGCTCGTGAAAACGGTGATCTTAGCCAGAGTGATGAGAAGAGTCAGAGTGAATCTGGGCAGAGAGATGACCGTACACCAACGCTTGGATTAGAGAAAGCATCTCCGGCTGAGCTGAACCCCATTGCCAAGCCTACCCAGTGATTCGATTTACTGTTGCTATCTTTATGTTCAGTCTTGGGTGATGGTTTATGGATATCCTTGAATCTATTCAGATACATAGCTAGCTTTATATGAAAGTCTTCATAACTTATCTTCGTTCTCCAAACCCCACAAACTTTCCCAAGTTTATACAATTTTATTTGAGAGCTTAACAAAATCACTAACACTAGCCTGACCTAACAGTCTTATAAATAGAGTTATAGCCCGTCAAGGATTTCTCTTCCAACTCCGCAAACTCCTGCCCCCTGAATCTCTCGGGGTCAAGAGCCTCTTTTGTCTTGCCTTCCACTTCTTCTCCATCAATAATCCTTGTCAGAAACTTGGCTGTACCAGCAGCATGCGTGACCCAGACTGCAACTGCCATGAACAATCCCTCAACTGAATTGACCTTTCCAGCCAATGGCATATTGTCTGGCGTCATACTAAACACTCCATTGAAGTAATTTCCATCTTGGAATTCTCGGGCTGCAGCAGGAGGAAGTAAACCTGTAGCAAAGTCGAGAGGTTGCTTGAACCAGTCTATCCAATCGCCTTTAGCAGTAGTGTCTGCTTTGTAGCCTATAGGTGCATGGTCATAACTTCCAATACCAAAATTTGTACCGTGATCCCGAGCGTAAACATGGTGCTCAGGCCAGCGAAGAAACGGTATTTTGTGAGGAAGTGGTTCGTGGGCTTGAGCGTGCATGTAGGGGTGACCAACGGGAATGACAGGGACAGGAAACGGGAGGGTTGATGAAAGATCTTGAGCCCAGATTCCAGTTGTGATGATGACTTTATCAGCAGTCAGATGACGCGATATCTCATTATGAATAACGTCAATGCCTGTGACGCGGCCGTCCGATATGGCGAGTCGCTTCACATTGGCTTCCACCAAGTTGACTCCACGCTTCTTCGCCTCTTGTTGATACCAAGTCGTTATTCTCACAGCATTTGCTGTTCCATCCTTCTCAAAAAAGACCGCCTGCCCTTCACCGTCCTCGTTGACCAACTCTGGAGCCAGACCGTGTGCTTCCTTAATGCTCAAGATTCTTGCCTCAAGACCCAGCTTCTTTGCATCCTCGCATCTCGCCTTTAATCTTTGGATGCCCTCATCTCGGAATGCAATCTCCAGACCGCCAACTCTGTCGAAACCACCCGGGATTTTGACATATTCCGAGACAGTGTCGATCGCAAGTTTGGTGAGGATCTGGGATTCATTGAATTGACCGATGAATCCGGGGGCAATTCCAGATGAACCAAGAAGACAGGTGAAGGAACGGTCGATTAGGGCTATGGTTCTGGGGTTTGAAGATTGGGTGAGGAAATAGGCCAGGGCAGAGCCAACGATGCCGGCACCAATGATGATGACTGACTCAGTGGGTTGAGACATTTTGAGGTGATGGGTGCTTGGCTGCAGTAATGGATATTGGCCATATCTACAGCTATATATCATTTCGTTCAAGGCTTACACGCCCAGCAAACGTCAAGTCAGTCAAGGCTCATGGCTCAAAGGGCGCATCGGGCCACCATCAGCCAATCAGATTTCCCAGACTGTCACTTTTCAACGACAAGTTGGCCCACTAGACAGTATGGGGTTCACTCCATTTTTCAAGCTAAGAAGTCCACCAAAGAAATCAACGCGCCCTTGCAGCGGGGACCAAGATTCTGGTACGATGGCTCAAGCGAGAGTCGCCTTGATCTTTGTATTCACGCAACTTTGCCAGCACGGATAGGTAAGCAATGCCGAGGGCGGTCATGGTCTTGATAATAATTACCCAGGAGGTCTGGCGTGAGAAATAAGACATCTCTGGGCTCAATTAGATGCACGCAAATGCGAGGAGCGAGACGCGAGGCCTGATACTGTGTCTTGGCAATGATGCTGAGTGAGATGTTAGCTTAGTTGTCTGGTCCGTTGTCAGAACTAAGCTTATATCGCACCCAAAAAGGCCACATGCATAAATGTTCAGTCTGGTGATCTATCATCTATACTTGAAGAGGAACTTCTTTAGTATATAAGTATGCCTTCAAGTCTCATATCTGGGTAAGCTCAAGCAACACCTCTGAACTTGATATCATCACATCCGATGCCCGCAACCATGACCGCTTCACAGAGCGACATCAAATCAGCCATCGAGGCTACTGTGAAAAGCTATCTTACATCTTTCATCGACGCTCGTACCCAGAACAATCCCTCTCTGGTCAACCGAGACCTCACTCCAGACTGTGCACGGTCGATGCTTCCCTCTACCCTAGGCGGCGGTTTCATCATGACAAACGACCAATACCTTCACGTCTTCACCGAGGGTCTGAAGGTTGGCGGCATGCATAAAAACACCGTCTCCGACTTGGTCATTGATATTGAAGCCCGAAAGGCAGCTGTTACAACTGTTGCGGAGTTGGTGTTCAATAATGGGGAAGAGTTGAAGCTGGATTTCTCGTGGTTCTTGCATTTCAACGAAGATGGTGACAGGATTTGCAAGATTGTTGAGTTTGTGGATAGTGATACATTTAAGGATGTCAAAGGAAGAGAGGCAGAGTTGAGTGGTGAGGCACAGAAGAACACGTAGATAGGTTCGAAACACAACTCTCAGAGCCGGTTTCTGAATTGATCCTTTGACATCAATGATGCATTTTCTTTCCGTAAGTATCCTAATTATTTATACCACGGATACTATTCTCCGACAGCTACTTATAGAAACTTAAAATTCACATATACCAAAAGTCAAATTCAGTACAAGAGCAAAGGTAAATAGCTACGTCCAAAAGCTTCAAATGGTCACAGAATTCCTCTTGGTGGGTTTTTATAAGCTGAGAAAGGTTTCTAGATAATAAGCAGCAATAGCACGCGGTTTTTCATCATTTAGTTAGGAGCTTGAGTCAAGTATCACTGGATCTAGGCTCATCTCAAAGTTGATTGAGTTATTGACATAAATAGATTGGAACTTCAGAATCCAATCATATCTTATAATCGAATTACTTTTCAGAATGCATCCGGATCTTATAGAATCCCGTGTGGGCCATCTGAAAGCTTCAAAGGTCCCCGAATCGACCGATGCCGCGCCGTCATGACGCACTCTCGCTCAATACTCCATACACTTGAGACAACGGCACTTAACAGTCAATGCTATTTTCTGGATCTTTGGAAGCACAGACGCCTCGGCTTAGAAATAAAGTTGAGCTATGGACGGATATATCCGATTTATCTGCGAAATAAGGTTTACTGAAAACCATTTCTTGTTTCAGGTGATAATTTTGGGATATTTGAAACCCTTCCAAGGAACTTTACCAGAGATCGTCATTCGTAAAGATGGATCTATAATTTTAATTAACTTTCATAACAATTGTGAGATGCTATAACAGCAGGTCGGTCCGAGGACCAGACAGTTATGTGAAGCCTCATCGAGTTGCGTGTTCTCAACCACAGTCTTTTCCTTCTGTCATTTTGTTTCCGTCACAATCACTCATTGTATGAAATATGTTTATATCATATTTACTTCCTTTCGTTTTATGGGCCTGTCTGGGACAAGCCACATTGACCCCTCGCAAACCGTTCGATACCGCATTCTACGTCTTCAACGGGGCTTGGCCATGTTCCCAAGATCAACTGAAAACAATTTCTGGGGCCATCGACGAGGCGCATGATCTTGCCAAGTCAGCTATCAATGTCCTTTCGAAGCCTGGCTCTGAGCAGTCGATCGCCTTCGACTCTTGGTTTGGCTCAAGTATATCTCTCCCCTGCACGCAAGTTCACTATTCTGACAACAGTTTGAAGGCAACGGGACTCCCGATAGAAGAGACATCATTCTTAATAGACACTTCCAAGCGGTTCTGGAGAATCTGGTGCCATCCACTGCCGCCGCCCAATTTCGACTCTCGCACAGTCCGTTCCTGAATCCCCAGCAAGGCTCTACTATCACTGAGTCTTCACTGGTCTATGCCTGTCCTCCCCCTTCCGAGCCAGTATGCGATGGCAATACGGTGGCAGCTGTTCAAAGTGCAACCGGTTCTAGAGCAGCAGTATTTGGGGCCACTCTTCTCGTCCTGTGTCCTGACTTCTTCGGTAACAAGCCTAACCTCGATAGTGCGGTTCATTTGTGGAAGACAGAGCATACCCTGGGCGACAATCTGTCGCGTGGCTTTGCGCTCGTGCACGAAGTTCAACATATGATGCAGGCAACAGAGTCAGAAGAGGAACGATGCGATGACTTGCAGGACCCGTTCGAGGATAACAAGGACTGTTATTCAGCTAGCTGGTGAGTCTGAAATTGAGGTTATATCGCCTGTTGCTGATAAGATTTAGCTGCTTCCGGCTTTCCGATGCCCAAAAGCTTAAGAACGCTCAAAACTACGCTATCTACGCACTTGATGTATTGGCTTTCCCTGATACCGCGGGATCTCCATCTTCGTCTTGCAACTTGCCACAGAGGCGTGAATCCCCCTTCATGAACCTCTTCAAGCGTCAAGCACAGCCGATACCAGAATCTGTGTCGCATCCGGTGCAGCCTGCTCCTTTCCAGAATACTTCCGCAACATTCGTTACTCTCCCAGAGACTAGCACGGGACCTTTGTCCTCCGAGGTTCCCGTGACTCCTACCCGCAACGTTACTACAGGCGGGGTTCCTACAGAGCCGGTTACATCTGATAGCCCTATTACCACTTCTTTCACCGAGACCACGACCACGTCATCAGCAGCACCAACAACGACAGTCAGCAATGGCGCCACCGTGGTAGTACCTGTCGGTGCAGTTGTTTTCGGGGGACCGGGAGGCGGCGTCATTTCTGTTGGTGGAGCATTGATCCCCGTTGCTGCTGGTGCTGTCGTAACAGCCAGGCCTGAGGATGGAGAGAAGCCAACAGACCCGGATGACAAGTCGAAAGAGCCTACATCCTCTCCAGCCCCGACCTCAACTTCTACTGAGTCAGAGTCGTGTAGCGCACCAACTACGACGGCGACGTATGGCTCAGAAGGAAATGCAATTTGCCGAGATTTGTCTGGCATGAGTCAAGAGGAGCTTTTGCAGCTCATCCCACAGTTTGGCCAAGTCAGCTCTTCTGCTGAACCTGTACCAACCTCAACACCAGGCGCTTCCAACACTTCCGCCATCATCTCTGTCACACCTTCTCCTTCAACTTTCTTGACGACACTGTCTCCTAAGCCAGAAACTCCGGCATCTGCTGTAAACACAACTTCAATCCTAGTGACACTTCCCGTCCCCGGTGGTTCGAGTACTCTAGTGACTGTACCAGCTATACAGACAACTGTTCCTTTTATTGGTGATACGACAAGCTGCAACCTGACAAATGATGCTGTTCCCGAGTGTCAAAACTTGGTCAACGGGAAGAGGGCTTGTCTTTACTCTCAGTAAGTGAAGGTACGGCTTGGAGATACCGCTGTTACTAACTCCAGCGTTAGACCGAAAGGATATCTTTGTGTTGCAGACTGTTCTGCTGGGGATCCCTGTCTGCAAACTTGCCAGACAATGAACTACAAGGGTGGCTATTGCAGCAATGGGTTTGTTTCTCCTCCAGATGAGGAAGCGTTCGTGACTAACATAGATTCTAGGTCACCCTCGTGTGTATGTTCTAACGACGATCCTACTGCTTGATCAACAGGCCTTGATTCTGTTCTCGTCTCTTGTCTTGAAGGTGACTTGAAGACATCCATGTAGAACAAGCTATCAATAGTCCTCAGAATATTAATCGGCATGTACTTTTGAGAGGGACAAGGTGCGCAGTTTCAGCATAGGTCTAAAGGCTTAGAGCAGTCTTTCAAGCAAATATAGAAATAGAAATGAATAAAGAATTCAAATTCCTATGCTATCATATAGATTTCTGTCAGGGTACAACATATACCCTACAACCACTGTCGAGAGGCTTTGACGCTTTACTCCTGACTGGCCACAATCTCGACCTCTGTGCCATGATCGTGGGCTTTGTAAACCTGATTAGCCACGGTTATTCCCTATATCAAGAAGACTTACCACCTGAGGTGTAACAGAAAAGCTGCTTGTCAACGAGAGTCAAGGGGTGGCTTTCCTCACCACTCGCTAAATATGTATGTCAGAAATGTCAATCGAACAAGACCACGCTAACACAAACATGAAAATCTGAGCTGGGGCCCATTTTCCCCTTCCTTCACTGTCACCGGATACAGTTCCTGTGTCCGGTCCTTTTTAGACCAGACAACAGCCGAGGCAGGCGCTCTGTTGTTAGTGATCTTGTCTGCAAGCTTGCTGCAGCCCAAGGCCCAGTCACCGCTGACAAGAGTATCTCCCTGGAGTTCAAATGTGGCGGCAAAGAACTTGTCTCCAACTTCAGCGGGACGGATTTCATTGGGGTCATGCTCTGGCTTGATTACGTGTTGGCCATCGACGATGATGACGAAGCGCTCGGGAAGTGAAGACATCTTCAAAGTTGATGGACTTTTAAAGTTTAAGTATTGTTGATAATCTTGTTGGTGAAACTTTTTAATGCGTTGGGTGGGTTGACTTGAGATAAGGGGCCAAGAGTCATGATATTTGTACTTCTTACGAAGGAGTTAGCCATTCTTTTGTGATGATAGAAATTACGGAGCCTCAAACTTTCTGTGGCACTATACCACCTACCAGTCGGTATCATTCGACTTCCAATAGATTCTACGGCCAGAGTCTGGTGCAACAGCGAGATTCGAATGTGGATTGTGATACACTACCGGTCAAGTTTCAACTGTCCATTCGGACCGAGGTGCGACAACGAACCGTTACAAGGCCGTGGCGGTGAGTACTTGAATTATCTTCGGTAGTTACTATCGTGACCTCGTATGGACACTGTGAAAGATGGTACAAGCCTTGGCTGGCCACGTAAGGCTACTGTGTCCAAGCAACTTCCAAGTCCATGGATCATTACACAAACACCAGTTCTCTTTTAAACCACAAGTGGTTTTCGTTCAAAGCACAGTCCTGCAGGTTTTCGTCTTCTCGGTAGGACTGTCCGCTGATATTTCAGCATAGGGGGTTGAAAACAGCCTGGTTAATGGGGGGGGGTGAGTATCACAGATACGCTTCGTAGTACCCATCCTTAGTAACATGGTTAGATGACGAGAGCTGTAGCGTCTATCTGTGACGCTGGAAGTCAGGACAATAACCTGCAGTTAACTTTACTTCTGCTTCATGCTCTCTCGATATTTCAACATCCATCTCGCCGACTGCGCCACTACAGCGTCGTGATTTGAGACTGGATTGAAGCCCAATCTCTTTCTAGCCTTTTCGATGCTGTAAGTATGTGTGTACACGCAATACTCAAGCGAGACTCTTCGTAGCTCAACTGGAGGCTTGGCTGTATTGAGAGTGAAAATCCAGAATAGCCACTCTGCTGCAAAGACTGCCACTATCATGACCCAAGCAGGAAGAACTATGATATCCTTGGAGATATCTCCACCTCTCGCTGTTTCCCAGATAACTCTTGTATGATGCCAAAACGGCACTGGACATCCATCGGAGACATTGAAAGCTTCTCCGTCAACTTTGCCGGGTGCGCGGCTTGGGTCCAGGAGAGCTTTTGCAGCGAGAACATGTGCTATCGCATTGTTTTCTCCAGATACGACTTCCATGAGATTCTTTCCGCCTCCGATCTGCACGAGCTTCTTGTTCTTGCACATATCAAGAACTTCAACCATGCCTTGGACATGTCTCTCTCCATAGGCGTGGCCAGGCCGTAGAGTGACGGTACGTAGTCTTGGACCATTAGCTTCCCGGACTAGACAATCGCCAATCGCTTTTGTCCGATTGTACTCATTCGACTTGTCGTTGGGTGACCAAAGAGGATATGTCTCGTCAGCATTTGTATGAGGCGGGTTGGCATACGCGTCCACGCTAGAAGTAAAGACGAATGCCTGAACTGCATCGCATTCGGAGGCGGCCGTAAGCAGGAGTTCAGTGCCCTTGATGTTTGTCGCGTAAAATTCGCCTTCACGGCTCATAGGCAACGCTGCGAAGGGAGAAGCGCAGTGAAAAATGACAGTAGGTCGAATCTCGCTGATTACGCCTCGTACAAATTCACCATCAGAGATATCTCCTTTGATGTACGACACATTTTCGTGTCGGTTTCTGGATATGTCGCGGTCCAGAACGTAAACCTCACCGCTTTCGTCATCTTGCATTAGCTGGCGAACGAGATGGAAGCCGAGGAACCCGCAACCACCAACAATAAGGCTGGAGCTGATGATAGGTGTTGAGATCTTTCTTATGTCAGACATTATTCAGATTTTGTTGGTGGGAGTGGTAGGTTGTAGAGAGAATGGTGTTGTATTCTGGGTTGGGCGATCATTTTGAGTGGCTGCGCTGCTGCTTACTCCGACGGATCCGTTGTTACATCGCTCTCCAGCGAATCTCTGCCAGTCTCCGACGGATCTGAGACATCCGACGGACCATGTAGAAGGGCACCAATTCGTTTGTGGGTAAACAATAAGACATTTATCGTGTCTTTCGCGGCTCTTGGAGAAATATTCTAGAAGCCGTCATGCTAGAACCAGATCCGACTTTTGCTTCGCTTCGAGAACCTTTTAGATCTAATTTTAATATGGGAGCTGTCTCGGCAATCTCCCCAGCTCCTGAATCCAAGATCATGTTATTGACAGCAGATCCTTACAGGCCGCCATCGTGGCGCAAATTGCAATCACTAGCCTTTCTCTCGAGTCGATTACCATGGCACATTGGACAGCTTCTACCCTTCTCATTGCTAGTCTTATCTTTGGAGTCATCACTGTATCTGACAAGCCCGTTTCCCCAAACCCTTCCGAGCCATGAGCCATCTACTGTGGCTACCATAATCTTAGCAACTCCCTACGCGCTATCGGGCTTTTCGTTGAATGCTTTCCTTATAGGACTTGGCGTATATCTAGGATGTGTATATACGGATAGCCTGGTTCCTGGATATGGAAAGTCTCGCTCGCTTGGGATGCCTATCTCTTGCATCGCAGCGGCAGTCCTTGGAACTTTCTACCATACCTCTTCTTGGGTTTTCAGAAGTCCGAATAAGGCGCCTGAAACTCGGACACGCAGAGGGCTGCATCGAATACAAACGTAAATGATATTGCAGCAGGCCAGAGAAACCAATGACTACGTTTCGGCCTCTCCAGCTTCTCTTGAGGTGTAACAGAGCTCGAAACAGGCCGCTAGTCATAACAACTATATCCAACACCAAACAAAGCAATGCATCTATATTAGGATAGAGTCCTATACTCGAAAGGTAGCTGTCCCGAGAAGCCACAGTGATAAGTTCTCCCCTGTGCTTCTCGTTTTAATAATACGGGCTACATTCTGGCGTTCGCTGGCTCTCTATCTTACCTTGAAAAGTTGACCCGAGAAGTATGGAGAGCCACTTATCTCTGATCTCTGATTCGTCGACTCGTACGGGCACGTCTAGAATCTGACATCGTTGCATCAGATCAGGCTTAGTGTAGGATCCTTTCCAGTAGGGACGGGTATGACATCCAAAAAGCAGGGCCGCTTTTCCAAATCATCAATCCTCTCATCTGCAAAGTCTTTCAATCCAAGACAAAACCTCGTATGGGCGTCTTCCGTCAATATGACTCGTGTGAAACCAGGGCAAAGGCAGCGCGCTAGAGCGCCAAAAGTACGGACTGGCTGCGGCACTTGCAAGTGAGTTCATTCTAAATGGCTTGCAAACGAGTGTAAATGAAGTGACTAACGGATTGCAGGAGTATGCCATCTGTTGAGATCTCTATTGGTGTGTTTTTGTTTCTAACAGCAGCAGTCCGCAGAGTTAAATGTGACGAAGCTCGTCCAGCCTGTACAAGATGTATGTCCACCTGCATAACTCGACACAAGGATCTACACTGACAGATTCGCTTCAGGTACATCCACTGGTCGGAAATGCGATGGTTATCAAACCAGCACACGTAGCCCCCCAGCTGCGTCATCCCCATCAGCCGCCTCCTCTCCTACCTCTGTCATCTCCACATATAGCACTCAACCCGAGGCACGATCATTCCAGTTCTTCATCGAAAAGACCCTGGTAAACTTTCAGACCTTCTTTGAAGATGACCTTTGGAATAGAAGAGTTCTACAAGTAGCTCAGTCCACAGACTGTATAAGCCATGCTATCGTCGCCCTGGCCTATTATCATGAGCTCTATCTTACTCATGAACAGTGGCGGAGTCTTGAGTCTATTTCGGCACTGAAACACTACAATCTTGCTATCAAGGAACTTCTCAACCCATCACCTAACACTTCATCACAAGGCCATGTCCTTGTGCTGTCATGTTTGATTTTCATCTGCATTGAGGTAAATTATTTCCTATGGCTACTACTTAATATATGTTGACCCATCTCAAGCTTCTTCATGGAAAGACTGACTCAGCCATTGGTCTATTCCGCTATGGCTGCGCCATGATTCAGCAGTTCAGAAGAACTTTATCCACCAATAGAGGTCACGGCTCTCATGCCAAGTCTGACGTAGAAGCAACGTTCAGTCTTGCGGATGCCTGCTTCAGACGTATTGCGGTACAACTCCTTATGGTATGTCCTCACCATATGTTCTTCTAAACCTTGAGCCTCCACTAACTTCTTAAGCTCATGGGGGACGTTGATGTAGGTATTTGGTCATCATACCATGAGACCTTCAGCAATACACTTCCGCCTCCTGAAACTTCATTTTCATCCCTTTCTGATGCAAGAGAAGCCATTCTGGAGCTCCTTGTTGAACAAGCCAGTCCTGGTCTGAAGGGAAAGCCAATCTACGAAACAGTCTCACACGCTACAAAGGTCGAGCAGTGGGGCCAGTCGTTTGATACTCTCTTGACTGAGCTTAAGAATAGTGGCAAAAGTTTGAGTATTGGTGAACAACGCGCGATCGCCCTGCTGCAGCTTCATCGAAAGTACTTGGAGATTAATGTTGCGAAGTACCTGCACGGTCAAGGCAACCCTTGCTTTTGGGATCGTTTCACCGCTGAATTTGACGAAATTGTCAACTGCGCGGCCACAGCAGCCGGACTTGACAAGAACTACACTCAAAGAAACTGGGCTAAAGACTCTCCCTCGGAGGCATATTTCCACGTCGACCTCGGGTACACATCAGTTCTAGTTTCAGTCATAGCAAGATGTCGCGATCCAACCGTTCGAAGAAGAGCTATCGCAGTCATGCTAGCAGAACGTGTACAAGAAGGTGTGTTTAATGGAACCCAGTCAGCCAGAGTAGGGGCAAGAGTCATGGAACTTGAAGAGGCCAGGAGTGGAAGAGAGGTGAGATGTAGCAGCGATATACCTGAGGACGCTCGAGTGAGGACCATTCGTGTGCATTTGCTACGACCTGAAAATAAGAAGGTGAAGATGGTGTATGGATTTGACCAGGGATATTGGGAGGAGGTTAGAGAGATGGCTGAATAGACGCTTGAACAAAGCTAAATAT